GGGGACAGATGACCAATACATCAGGAGCAAGATTCCCAAAATTGAAAAAGCAAACTTAAAACACATGCTAAGTTCAAATTCTCTCCCACCTACAAGTGTAGCATGGAGCATGACCAGCCTCCTCAAGAACAAGGACAGAGAAGATATGAAAGCTGCCTGTGTGCAGCACTACTGCAAGAAATTATGTACCAGTAGCATACTAGAGAATTCTGCTGGTATCTTTTTTTTTCTTATGCAAAAGCACTGATTACTACTAATCTGAATTCATAATTTAATCCCTTGATTTTTCAGTACTTAAGAGCAGGTAACTATGTGCTTGTCAAAACTGACCATTTATCTTTTAAAAGGCTTTCCTATAAACTCTGCAAATTCCATACCGTGAAACTCGAGTTCCAATTCTAAAAGTACCCTGGGTTTTACCACGTTCTTGCTAGAAGGTATTAGAGCTCTTATGAGTATACTTGGGGACCTACGTAAAAACTTTTAATTACACCACAAAACACAGCAAAGAACGACAGTGAACTATACGAAGAAATGATAAAGCAAGCATGTTTTATACAAGTGAAAGCCTTCACACGATATAGGTCAAATGGAAATCACCACCAAGAGATTATAAAAAGACTGTACCCAAAAATTTTTGGGGTAATCTATGAGCCTCAGAAAATGACCAGTATGGTTGAAATATTTAGTAGCTTGCATTTTCAAGGCTTCACTTACAAAGAGAAAAACAGTATCTTTCAAATTAAAATAGAAACAAGGATCAAGACTGACTATTCAATGAAGTTACCAAACTAAAGCTTGTTAAAAGCACAAGATAAAGGAAAATATAATTTTGCAAACCAATGGAATTCCACAGACTCCTTGAAAAACCTTGTACTGTGCAAAAAAGAAACATTTTTAAGAGTGCAGCAAGGAGAGGGTTGACATGGCAGAGAATTCAGTATGCTAGCTAAGAAGAAATCATGTAGTTAGGAGAAGAGATTGGCAGAATACAGAAACATCAGTGATGCCCTGAAGAAGGAAAGATTTTTGCTGTGCAGTATTTATGAAGAAGAACTGGCAAACTGGACAAGAAAAAGCAGAAAAATTTTTAGAAGAAAATCAGACAGAAAAGTCAGGTGAAGGACTTGAAAGCTGCAAAAACTTAAGACTTGCCAAGCACAAGAGGAGGAATTGCATTCACCACAAATACTTCAAGCGATGACACCTGGCAGTGACATCAGATTGGAGACTGAATGGGGAAGGAATATGAAAGAAGACAAGTTTATCAGCTGCAGGAAAAAGTGCAAGTGAGAAGATGTGTTTAAATACTTATCTTAGAGTATTTTAACATAGCTGATGTTACATATTACTACAGCTACACATAATGGAATGAAGTAAAATTAACAGACGGCAGGAAAGTGGGGATTTTTTGGTATGACTTCTGGCATGAAGTTAAAACCCAATTCAGTGTAATACATTTTCTCCATAAACAGCTGTTTTGTCACTTAAAGGTACTGATGAAAATATGTATCAACACTGTTACTGATACGTACACTTGCACAGGGATAAAAGACACAGCACTGCATGTAAAACTGTGTGCTTGCAGAGTTTTCCTCTCTCACAAGAGTTCTACAGAACGACTAAATAAATAAAATGTAATATTGTGGAGTTGAACTCTAGGCTGCAAAATGACCAATGCCTAGAACTAAAATAACACAATTATAATAAACTTTATTCACCGTCTTGTTGGGTACCCTTACATACTCTTCAGCCACCATTTTCTTTTGTATCATCACTGTTACATTAAAAAGAAAATCAAACTGAATATTTCGTTACTGTTGGTATTGAGAACTATTAAAAAGTATTTGATTAACTTTTTAAATCAATATTATAATCATTTTGTGCACAATCATGCACATTTAACAGTCAATTTAACTCATCTGGTATCTCACACAACCAACACAATATGCAAGAAACAACTGCTGGGAATTGTTTCAGAGCTCTAAAGTATGTTAATTTCCAAAGCAAAATGACTTGTGCTGTGAATTTTAACGCACTTGAAAGCCTGTACTTTCTCTCGTTCTGGAGCACAAATTTTGCATGTCTGAAGAGCTGTGATTCATCTTAAGAAAACCCATCTTGTGTTAAATGGAATGGAAACTGGACTAAGTGGTCAAATGACAAGTACATTCATATTCAAGCTGTATTATAAATGCATGTACAGTAATTTACGTCTCTCAGCTACCACAAAAGGCTCTTGATAAGCAGGTAATTTGCTAAATGGACTCCTTTATCCAAGTATTCGAAGGGCGTTACAAGAAAAATCTGCAGAGGCATTAATGTGACGTAAAGGTCAAGCATTGTGACATACCTTTCAAATAATCCCGCCTAACTTGCGATATGATGAGGAGGCTGCTGGCAGCACTGTTCAGTGTGAAGCCCTTGATGTGGGTCTCAGCACTAAAAGAAGCAGACATTTAGAAAGGAATTACTGACATGCTTCTGATACGATAATAAATGGTTGAGCACCAAGGTGAAATTATAAAAACTACTGTTCGTATGTTAAAAATATTGCTGCAAAATATCGACCTGGAGACAGCTTTTGTGTTATCCTGTCAATGGTTATAGAAGGATAATTTTTTTTTGCATTCTGACAGATGACAAAGTTGGAAGTGAGCAACAAAAGAAACAAAGTACAAGATTTTTTTTAAACAATCGGTTCAGATTCTTGAATGCTGACATATTAGATGACTAAAATAACTGCATGCCCTGCATTGTTCTGTTGTATCCTAAGCTGGATACTTTTTCTTCTTTTTTCAATAGTCACCATAATTATAAAATGTAAAACTATTCTTTCAGCAATAAAAATGAAACATTTATTTTCAGCACTGTATATTTTAAACATAAACTAAAGCATATTATGAACTAACACCATATCATTTGGTTGATTAATTTTCAAGTTTCTGTCATGTAGATGTATACAGGTTTTAAAGTGAACATACTATGTTTGCTGCCTTAGCCATGTTAAAAATCTATTTCCCTTATCAATTCTTCATCTCCTGTAATACAAAACTTCACATATCCATAGCAAAAAGAATTTTTGCTTTAATGACACTGCTTAAGCTTTTCTAACACACTGGAAATTAGTCGAGAGAGACTAACCAGCAATCACACTGATCTTATACTATAAAATGTTCCCGCTCCTAAATGACATATAGCCACATTTTTAATATATAAGGATAACTTTACAAATGTTCATTTCTAGATTACAAAATCTCTACACAGAAAAGGGGGGCATTGCCATTTACCATATCAGCAATCAAGATAAACCTCACTGATCATCTTGTGGCAAACAACTGAGCAGCCTACCTACTTGAACTTAGAGGCTGAGCGGATTGGGAGGTAAGCAGGGTCATTGCTAAATTATTCTCCTCAATCCCAAGAAAATCCTTCACATCGCACACAATATGACTATCCTCTCAGTCACTTTCAGCCTCCCAGGCTCACAAATGCAGTCACTGGTCTCGGGATTTTCTTACTCTCCCAACCAATCCTCTTAATCCCTGCCTAAGCACCCACTGCTAAGTTCCGCCCTTTTTTTTTTTTCCCCCTTTGTCCCATCTGTCAAAGCCCTTAAGTCAACAATTCATGCATGAGACTGTAAATTACATATAACAAAGGATTTACTTTCTCCAATCTTCCAATCTTTAGTGTGATTAAATAGATGTTAGCTACTATTACAGAACTAATCCATCATTCCAATACTCCTAAATTTCTTTTTAAAACTTCTTGGATGAAATGCAGTAAATATTCCTCCAAACAGTGCTAGAATGCCAAAGCAACTACATTTGGGTTGACCAACAGATCAGTACCCTTCTAGGTTGTTTGGAGGGTTTTTTTCAAATGCAGAGTAGTAGTGCAATTTCCTTCTACCACATCACCTTCTCATGGAAGTTTCTCAGTTCCGATAACAGGAAGGAAGTTTTAAAATAATATGGCCTTTTTAAATAAAAAAAAAATTACTTATTTTGTTGCCTATGCTAATACTCACAACTCAGGCTCTCTAAATATTATTTAAATTTCAAATTTGACTTCAAGCTGAGTAAAAAGAAAAATATATTAGCTTATATAAACGAAGGTAGCTTTCCTGTATTTTATGAAAATATTAGGAGTTGCACAAGTTTCAGGCCACTGCACACATTTAGGCTTTGTAGGAGTAATCTCTTTGTAATATGAGGTTAGTAAAATTGTTGAGCATGCAGAAATGTGTGCAAAACACACAGATTTGCTATTCTTCAACCATGTGTATACACACAATCACTTTCTCTATTTCAGTGAATAATTTAAAGCTTACAGACTTTTGAAAATGCTTAATGTACGCATGATTTTGTTACTAGAAAAAAGACACACAGATAAACACGATGAAGACTGCCAATATGAAGCAGTTTATCTTGATGAAACAGTGAGCTGTTACAGGCTTCTTAGAATGTCATTACTTCACATTTCTATGCTACAAGATGGAATATGAGAGTGCTGAAAAGCACAGGGGTTATGATGATGGTTGGCTTTGACTAGTGACCAAGAATAGAACCTCTTACTAAATCCTATTTTCCTTTTTCCTAAATATCTCAAGGTTCTGAGGCTTAGTCCTTTAAAACACACCTCCAATTCTTTTAGTCTTTAAAGGTTTTTGTTCATTTTTTTCCTGCATTTTGAATTTACATGCTAAAATACTTATCTAAAGTAGG